CATAGAACCCTTCTAGAAACGCTCAAACTGCCTCCGATAGATCTCCCTCTGAGTAATGGGGAGAAACTTCTCCAGGAATAGCTGAGTAAACTGCTCCCAAGTCAAAGCTGGTGATCCGGCTGGTCTAGCCAAGCAATAATCTCTCCACAAAGTCTTGACGGATCCAGAAAAGCAAAAAGTAGCAAAATCGACCCCATTGGTCTCCACTATCCCCATGTTCCTGAGAACCTCATGACAGCTGTCTAGAAAATCCTGGGGATCCTCAGAAGATGCACCGCTGAAAGTAGTAGGGAAGAGCTTGGTGAACCTGTCCAATCTCTACAAGGCATCGACAGACATAGCTGCTCCCTCACTGGTCTGAGCTACCACACCCGACTGAACTGTTCCAACTGGCTGAGCTGCTGGAGTCTGAAACTAGGGAGCCATCTGCTCCGGAGTGCGAGTAGCAGGAGTCTGGGCTCCTCCTCTAGCCTGAGAGACGGCTGGTGCTACAGGAAGCAAGCCTGCCCGGGTGACACTCTCCATAAGTCCCACTGAACGGACCAAAGCGTCCTGGAGTACTAGGATAGCAATAAACCCCTCTGGGACCTAAGCTAGGCCCACCAGAACTGTCTGGGCTGGAACCTCATCATCAAAGTCAACTTGAGGCTCTGCCGCTGGTGCTGCTGCTCTAGGCTGAGCTCTGCCCCTACCTAAGCCTCTAGTACGGCCTCGGCCTCGCCCTATGCCCCTCGTGGGAGCTGCTGCTGGGGGCTCGGGTTGCTGATCGATGGATAAGGAATCACGTGTTCTCGTCATCTGCGAAAGAACAGAGTAGAAATTCAATTAGCATTGAGAAAACAAACCGCACGACAAGAAAGAATAAATGTGAAGTTTTTCTAAATCTATAGCCTCTGGGGATAAATACAAACATCTCTGTACCGACCCCTCAGACTCTACTAAGCTTATCCGTGAATTGTGAGACCTATGTAACCTAGAGCTCTGATACCAACTTGCCATGACCCGGATTTCCCACCCTCGGGAGTCGTGATGTGCCTACTCGTGAAAGCTAGGCAAGCCGCGTAATACAGAATTTCTAACTCTTTTATTTAGCCTTTTTAACTATTTAAACTAACATGTCAATAACAGTGAAATATTAACGATAAATAGATACAAGCAGAAGACTTAATCTGATAAATTAATCATAAATAGTACGACAATGCCAACATACATCTCTACTTAGAATCCGGTGTCATAATATCACGGACTGTCTACGAATCTACATACAAATGTCTGTAAAAAAAGTACAATCTGTCTCGGAAGCAATAAAAACAGAATACATATAAAGATAAAAGAGAACGCCGGGCTTGCGGGCGCCTGCAGGACTACCTCGGGATCTCTAACTGGACTGAAGGCAGCCACCCAATGCTACGGTCCAAAAGCTGCCGCTCCGGGATCTGCACATAGTACAGAGTGTAGTATCAGCACAACCGACCCCATGTGCTGGTAAGTGCCTGGCCTAACTCCGGCAAAGTAGTGACGAGGCTAGGACCAGACTACCAAATAAACCTGTGCAGTTATATAATATGCAACGGAAAATAAAACATGAATAAACAAGTAAAGATGGCAGGGGATACATGTTGTGGGGGAATATCAGTACCAACAGTAAATTAAGAGAAAAACATAAGAACAATTTAGAATTTTACAGCCAAACAATAAGGAACTCGTAACCAATCTATGAACACTTCGTATTATCAATTGTTGCGGCGCACAACCCGATCCCAAAACATAATAACTCTGTTGCGGCGTGCAACCCGATCCATATCATTTATCACTGTTGCGGCATGCAACCCGATCCAATTATATTATTGTTGCGGCGTGCAACCCAATCCAAATATAGTATTGTTGCGGCGTGCAACCCGATCCAAATATAATATTATCGCGGCGTGCAATCCGATCCACATATACAGTTAAACACCAATCACAACAAGAGTCCCGACAAGGGATAAATAAAGAAACAACACTTTCCTGGCAAGGGAATCGACAGTATAAGTAACTACGTCCCGGCGAGGGAAATCAGCTATAACCAAACTTGTTCCAACATCTAACTACCTCAATTAGCACCAATACTCAATCATAAGTAATTCCCACGAGAATACTCATAATCCTTGCTCAACACAGAGAATCACAACTTAGGTATTCGTTGGATTTATCAAGAACACAACAATTTCAATTTAAGACTCACGGTCATGCTTGACACCAACGTATAGATACTCGTCACCATGACTATACGTCGTACTCAACAAATAACATGTAGCAAATAGGACACAACTCCTAATCCCTCAAGCTAAGGTTAGACCAAACACTTACCTCGATGCCACGAACACAATCCAAGTCTCTACTATCGCTTTACCTCTTGATTCTACAACCAATTCGCTTGTATCTAGCCACAAGTTACTTAGTTACATCAATAAGCGCTAAATGAATCAATTCCAATGCATGAAAATAAGTTTCCAAAGTTTTACCCAAAAAGTCAAAAATCAGCCCCGGGCCCACATGGTCAAAACCCGAGGTTCGAACCAAAACCCGATCACTCATTCCCCCACGAATCCAAATATATAATTTGTTTTGAAATCGGACCTCAAATCGAGGTCCAAATCCCCAATTTTTGAAAAACCTAGGTTCTATCCAAAACACCCAATTTTCCCCATGAAAATCATTGATTTTGAGTTGAAATCATGTGAAAAGATGTTAGTGATTGAGGGAAACGAGTTGAAAGTGACTTACAATCGATTTGGAAGAAGAGTTGTCTTTGAAAAATCGCCCAAGAGTGTTTTGGTTTTGAAAGAATGTGAAAAATGAAAGATTTTCAGCTAAGTTATAAAGTTGCAGGTTGCAGATGTTGCATTTGTGACCAGGGTTTGCAATTGCGAACCCAGACTTCTGCTAAGTTCGCATTTGCGAAGAATTTCTCACATTTGCGAGTTGGGAATTGCGAACAACTTGTCGCATTTGCGATGCCTGGCTGAAACTGGGGGATCGCATTTGCGATAGAATCCTCACAATTGCGAGGTAGGCTGGCCTGGGCTACATTTCGCATTTGCGATCTCGCATTTGCGAGTCAGGCTTCGCAAATGTGAAGCCTACAGGCCTGCACTGAAACAGCTGAAAACCTGCAATTCTCCAAGTCCAAAATCCACCCCGTGGCCTATCCAAAACTCACCCGAGCCCTCGGGGCTCCAAACCAAATATGCACACCAACCTAAAAAATCATGCGGACTCGCTCGTGCATTCAAATCACTAAAATAACATCAACAACTATGAATTTAGCATCAAAATCATGAAATTTTTTAAGAACTTCAAATTTTCCAATTTTTCTCAAAAACGATCCAATTCACGTCGTTTCAAGTCCGTTTCTTACCAAATTTCACAGACTTATCTTAAATCACATATAGGACCTGTATCAGGCACCGGAACCAAAATACGAAACCCGATACCATCAAGTTTTAAACACCTTTCATTCTTAAAACTCATAAATAATTTTAGAAAATAATTTTCTGTAAAAATTCATTTCTCGGGCTTGGGACCTCGGAATTTGATTCCGGGCATACGCCCAAGTCCCATATTTTCCTACGGACCCTCCGGACCCTCCGGGACCGTCTAATCACGGGTCCGGGTCCGTTTACCCAAAATATTGACCGAAGTCAACTTAAACTCATTTTAAATGCAAAATTCATCATTTTTCACAGATTTTCACAAAATGGCTTTCCGGCTACGCGCCCGGACTGTGCACGCAAATCAAGGTGATGCCGAAAGAGGTTTTTAAGGCCTCGGAACATAGAATTTACTTTTAAAATAAGTGATGACTTTTTGGGTCATCACACTTGAGTGGATGTTTATTTTTATCTTTAATGGCGTCTCCAAGACCCATTGCATCTAAATGGATTTCAGCATCCAACACTCATGTCATATAGTTCTTGCCCGAAATTTCAAGGGCAACGAACTTTCTTTTCATAATATCAGTTATAATTAAAAGAGGAGAAAAGTTATACCTTAGTCTTTTCAAAGAGCTTCTTGAGACGGTAGAGTCTCGTGCTGATAGCGTGTAATAAAACAATAAAAGAAGAAGAACAATATTGTAGAGAAAGAGAGAGAAAATTCTTATTGAATTTTGGGATGATTTACAATTGGGTAAGACCTCTCTATTTATAGGAGAAAAATGACTTAGCCACAAAGTAAAACTCTCTAAAAGATAGACATTCACTCTAATTATAACTCTATTCATAATAGTGAAATTTTTTTTCAAGTGAAAATGATATTTGAAATTTAAAGTTGTATTTGGACACAAATTTCGGTTTGGGTTGTTTTTGAAGTTTTGTGAGTAATTTGAGTGAAAATTTTGAAAAACAACTTTTTGCAGTTTTTCAAATTTTCGAAAATTTCCAAAATGCATCTTTAAGTGAAAATTGAAAATTTTACAAACAAACACTGATTTCGAAAAAAGTGATTTTTTTTTAGAAAAAGCTTCCATCAAATTTTATGTCCAAACGGGCACTTAAATTAATTCATCAAAAGTTTGGAAAACCAAAAAGAAAAAGAAATAGTAAATCCATGCAATATGTCACAGTTTTGTTAATTACTTAGTTAACTTGGTTGACCTTAGAGCCTTAGATCTTAATATTCCATTTGGGATCTTAAGTATCAAAAATCATACTATTTGATAATATCCTATTGTATAATTTAGTTCGAAAAGTCCGTTGCCAAACTGAATTCAAGATTTGAATAAATTTGCTCTCAGTAATCTGGAATCTGGATGGGAGACGTTGGCAGCTAAGATTGCATCCGCAAACCAAAATTTTTTAAACTAATCACTCTTTTAAATTTACGTAATAAAAAAAGTCTTTTTCCTTTTTTAAACTTACCATCCGCAAAATTCGACCTAAAGTTTACCGGTAATAAAACGACGTCGTTAGGGTTAAGCTTATCACAGAAGTCTTGTTGAAGCAAAAAATCAGTACAAAGAAAAAACCACTACAATTTTCAAGAGACTTCAAATCGATTATTATTACTCGTCAAACGGTGGAGCAGCCAAGTCCACTTTGCATAGAGAGAGAATCGCCAGCCAACAAAGCAAGTGTGAGTTAAAGTGAGAGAAATAGCAAAAAAGGCAAAGAAGAAAGCAGAAAAAGTTTGTGTGAAGTTCCCACCAATACCATCAACTGCATTGTTCTTGTGAAGGGGAAAGTAAAGGGGCTAATTAGGCAAGAATTCAACAAATTGATTAAGAAAAAGTTGAATCTTTGATTTTCATCAAAAGTGTAGAGAAATCAAGAATGACAAGTCCTGGGTCAGAGAGACTGGCTTTGACTCCGGTGAATCGAACGCCTCTTTCGGTGTCGGGTAGGGTTTCAAGTTCAAGAAGTTTGACAGATGAAGTCATATGGAAGCGACTGCGTGAAGCTGGGTTTGATGAGGACTCCATTAAACGCAGAGATAAAGCAGCTCTTATTGCTTATATTGCCAAACTCGAAGCTGAGGTCTGTTAATTAATTTTACACTTATTATTTTACGTTTTAAAGATTTATTACTAGACCCGACTTGTTTGTGACTAAGGCTCAGCGTATTGATTGGTTAATGATATACCCCCTTAAATTCTGCTTTGTCTTTTTTTTTTTTTGCTTTCTTTTTTTGGGGCGGCTGAATTTATTACTATCATAGTATTGTCATATGTACTCGTTTTTGTTGAGGCATACCTACTGTTTAATTTACCCAAGTTCCATTCTAGTAATGTTCTTTATGTCCCTTTAGGAATATTGCTTGAATGAAATAAATATCAAAGTTTATATCGCACCTTTATTGGCCAACTTGGTTCATGATTGCATCTCTATACTGGATGTAGCTGTATGACCATCAATATCAGATGGGTCTTCTCATCCTGGAAAGGAACGAGTGGGATTCCAAGAATGAGCAATTTAAAGCAGCTTCCGAGTCAGCTGAACTCTTATACAGGCGCGAACGTGCTGCACGTCAGGCTGATGAGGTTGCAGCTAAGAAACGTGAAGATAATCTGAAGAAAGCTCTTGGGATTGAGAAAGAATGCGTCGCAAACGTATGCTTACTCCGCTTGTTTGCTTCCCCAAGTTGTTTCTTTTGTTATCTTGCTGACATGTTTTGAATTTTAAACAGATTGAGAAAGCGTTGCATGAGATGCGAGCAGAATGTGCTGAATCAAAAGTTGCATCTGAGAATAAATTGGCTGAAGCACGAAGCATGATGGAGGATGCTCAGAAGAAGTATGCTGATGCAGAGGAAAAGTTGCGTAAAGCAGAATCCTTGGAAGCAGAAGCCAGCCTTTTTCAGCGTACTGCAGAAAGAAAATTACGTGAAGTTGAGGCACGAGAAGATGATCTTAGGAGACAGACATTATCATTTAAGTCAGAGTATGTGCTTAAAGTTGATAAGGATGTTCTTCTATTTGTAATGTGGTTTGATGTGTGCTGAGCTCATGTTTTCCTAGTTGTTAGACTGTGAAAACACCACTCAGGTTCAACTGCTTGCATGTATTGTACCTTGTTCACTAAGATGCTATTCTCTTCAAGCTCGCCAGGACTTTGCTTCAATGGCAAAGGTAGTACAGCCCCGGGATGTATGGTAGACGCACATCTGCTATTTAAGTGGAGAAGGGTAGAGGGATGTGCCCGTTATCCACCGAATTCCTGATCTAGGAAAGCGGATTTCTCGGGTTTTAAGAAAAAAGAAAAGAAAAGGAAACTATGCTATTCTCTTTGAAGTATTATTTATAGGATTGACTGCCTAGTGTGGTTAGAAAAAAAGCATAGACATTTGTTGCGGATAAATATTTACTTTAGTCTTCTGAAAAATTTGATGTTTACAGAATATGTATTTTGGTGTAGGAAGACTTTATGTAAATAATTGACTGTGGACTGGACTTCATAGATTAGTTGCTTTCTTAAAGGAATGGAAGTCATATATATTTTGTCATCATGCAGTACCCACTTGGTTCTGAAGTTAGTTGATTAATAAATTTCTATCTTATCTCTAAAAAGTAAGGGATAGACTGCATTCATGATTTGACACTTATATCTGTAATTATTTGAATTTTCCACACCAAAGGATTCAATTGTTTCATTCCTTTCAACTAGCAGGGAATGATCATATTTTAGGTAGTCTAGGACTCTAGGTAGGAAAAGATAATTGCTTGATAATATCCTCTATGGAGGCACACGTGCTATTATTTTCCTCATGCACATGATTGAGTTAGCATTTTCTATAATCTGTCAGTTGTGAAGCTAAAGAGAAAGAGATCCATCTGGAGAAACAATCTTTATCTGAAAGGCTGAAAACTCTACAGCGGTCGCAGGAAGAGTTACTTGATGCTCAGGCTTTGCTCAATAAGAGGGAAGATTTTATATTTAACAGATCTCAAGAACTGAACAGACGCGAGAAAGACTTAGACAATGCTAAATTAAATTTGGAGAATGACGTTAAAGCCCTGAATGAGGAAAAGCACAATCTGGAGCTGAAACTTAAGTCTATATCAGCAAGAGAGGAAGTGAGTCTATTTCTCTCTTCTTTTACACTCTGCTTATTATGTATATTAGCCTTTTCAGATTAAAGATATTGAAGAATTTATTTATGCAATAGTTGTGTCTTTTCACAGGCCGTAATAAAAAAGGAATGCGAGCTTACCAAGAAAGAGGAAGAACTACTGTTATTGCAAGGGAAAGTTGAAAGCAAGGAGATCGTAAGTTTTGACACTAAAGAAAACTATGTTTCCATCCTTTACTGAGAAATACCTTTGTTTTCTTATTACTCTGATGAACCATGCAGGCTGGCGTTAAACAGGTTATGGCTAAACAGGAGGCCACACTAGTAACTAAGATTTCCTCTATCGAGGCTGAGTTGGAAGCAAAACGAAAATTGGTGGAAGATGAGATTCAGACCAAGAGGCGGGCTTGGGAGTTGAAAGATATGGATATTAAGCATCGGGAGGACCTATTTGCTGACAAGGAACACGATTTGGAGATTCAATCAAGAACACTGGTTGAGAAGGAGAAAGAGTTGGAAGATAGGTTACATGTTATTGAGGAAAAAGAAAGAAACCTCCAAGCTACTGAAAAAGAGATAGAGTTGAAGAGAACAGTTCTGCAGCAAGAAAGGGAAGGAATTAACAAAATGAAAAATGATCTTGAAAAGTCTGCGAAAATGCTGGATGAAAAAAGAAAATGCATTGACCATGAGGAAGAAAATGTGGAGGCTATGAAAAGTGAAACTCAAGAGTTGCTGATTCTGGAAACAAGGCTAAAGCAAGAGATTGATATGATTAGAGCGGAGAAGGAAGAGATTGAAAAGGAGGCAGATCGGTTGAAAGCAGAGAAAGCTAAATTTGAGACTGAATGGGAGGTAATTGATGAGAAAAGAGAAGAGTTGCAGAAAGAAGCTGAACGTGTGGCTGAGGAGAGGATAGCCATTTCTAAGCTTCTTAAGGATAGCCGTGACAGCTTGAAAGCAGAGAAGAATGCAATTCAAGAAGACTATAAGCAAAATCTGGAGTCACTTTCTCGTGATCGTGAAGCCTTCATGTATGAAATTGAGCGTGAGCGTGCAGAATGGTTTAGCAAAATTCAGAAAGAACGTGAAAACTTTTTGTTGGATGCTGAGATGCAGAAGAAAGAGCTAGAGAACCGCATTGAAAAAAGACGTGAAGAAATAGAGACTGACCTAAAGGAAAGGGAAAAAACCTTTGAGGAACAAAAGAAAAGAGAACTTCAGGATATTGCATCTCAGAGGGAGACTGTGGAGAAGGAATTGGAGCATGTTGGGCTGGAGTTGAAGAAACTAGATGCTGAAAGAAAAGACATCAATTTGGATCGTGAGAGAAGGGACAAAGAGTGGGCAGAGCTAAATAATGCTATAGAAGAACTTAAGGTGCAAAGACTGAAATTAGAGAAACAAAGGGAATTACTTCATGCTGATAGGGAGGAGATTCTTGCTCGGATTGAGCAGTTAAAGAAATTGGAGGATGTTAAGATTATTCCAGATCGTATTGTCACACCCAAAAAGTTATATTCTGATCTACGATCCACTGAACATAAACATTCTGCAAAAAGGTTACCGAAGCATCCCTCAGTGCTGGATGTTGGTCCGAATGGGAATTATAATAATGGTGTTAGACAAGATATTTCTTCCATCATGAAAGAGAACGACAATTCATCTTCTCCTCTCTCTACTCCATTCTCATGGCTTAAGAGATGTGCTGATACATTGCTAGATCGTACACAAAGTAACAAAAGGCGGAAGGAAAATGGGGATTTTATAACTCAATCGACCGAGAATGGTGCATCACGGTAATTCCCTGCTCTTAATAACTGACATTGTCAAGTGGCACATATTTTTCTGTTATCCCACTTTCCCTTCTGTATGTTTTAAAGTTGATAGTGAGTATTGGTCTGATGACTTTATTTGTTGTCTGGTTCTTTCTAGTCCATTATCAACAGCACCAGACGCACCAGAAGTTGAACACTTGGAAGTTCCACCAGACCAAATTCCCATTGCTGCAGCGGAAACCACTGTGCATGTTGATAAAATTGTTACAGTTCGAGAAGTGACAACAATCGATGTTAAGAAAGTCACGGAGGGAAGTCAGGTGAGCTCTATTCTCTTTATAAAAATACGTGTTCAAACAATGCAAGCATTGTTACAGTTTCATGATGATTAAAATTATCCACTTTTTAATTTTTTTATGTTTACCACCTTAACACGGCATATATTGTTAGAGTAGTGTTAGTTATTATGTGATACATGGAGTAATTTTCTGTCTTGATTCTCTACTATACTCTCTGTTTTAGGTCAATTTTTTTTGCTTTTCTATAACCCACATTATCTGCTGCTCTCATTTTTCTAGCTTCTTTTCTATTTTATCATATGTGCTTTCAAACTTCAGATAATTACCCAGCATTCTAATTCTGTGAAACTCAGGCAGTGCATGTATCCTCTTTTTTCAATGTACATGCAATGCATTTAGGAGGCAAGTCTAATTTGTCGTATGCATTAAAAGTAGGTGTATTCTTCTGTCTCAGTTATTAGTCCTAGATTCTATTCTGAGTTATCTGAAACTTGTGTCCACTCTTATAGAAAGGAATCTTTTCTCTCAATATCAGTTACCTTTTCAATATCCTACCATAAAAATGTTATCGTGGGGCCTATTTTCTCACCAGAGAGAGTTTGAAATCTTTCACAAATTTAATATTTCTACCTTTAGACCCTCACATATTTAAGTACAACGAAATTCCAACTTTCACTTGAATACCCGTTCCCTTGCCCAGTATATTAGGACATTTTAATTGGGACGAAGAGAGTATGGTAAAGAGTCTGGTCTCATCGAATTGAAGAGGTTATCCTAGTTGTCTTGGTTGTGGCTGTTGAAAATTTAGTTTTTGATTTGCCTCTCTTCTTCCCAAATTATGTTTTTTAGGGTGATGATTTCCCCATATTACCTTTTTCTTTTTGTGAGAATTTCGCCAAATTACCTTTTTCTTTTCACGTTCTGTTCGATGAATCATAAAGGCATGCTTCTGCAGGAGACTCTGTCTGAGGAAAGTGGTCAGAAGGTGGGGAACAATGATAGCTTGGAATCAGATCGAAACGGGAAGCCTGAAGGCAGATCCCGAAGGACTAGGGCAAAGAGGAAGTAGTGAGATTGCCAGATGTGAGAAGAGTAGCACCTGAGCCTTAAATAATTTGCTGTTCGCTTTTTCTTCATTTCAAACTTTCAGGTCTTTCTACAAAAATTTTCAAGCTAACGACTGATTGTGACTGGTGGTACTCTACTGCCATGTTTGGTGACTCGTTCTGTTCTTCCCAAACATGTAAATGTTTCAGGCTAACTCATGCCCTTAAGTATTTTTGTAAATGGCAATTTTTAGAATAGGTATGGTTGTGAATGTTTAGTGTTTAATCAAAGAGCTATGATTGTAAGTAACATTATATCAAAGTGGTTTGTGTGTCGTCTGCTATTTTGGTTTGCTTATTGTGGTAAATGCAACTTAGTACTGAGATTTTGGGGATTATGTAGTAGTGAATTCGAGTTATTTGTGCTTGTCTCCCCATGTTTCTAGACCAAGGTGTTCTAGTATTTGGTTGATCTATTTCATTACATTATCTTCCCCATGTATGTAATAAGATCATTTACATATGCATGATGCTTAAGCAAAGACGAGATATCGGGGGAATGAGGTAGATGGCTCTCTCAGGGATTGAGCTTTTGACCAATATTGTCCTTATCTTTGAGGGCAGGTTTATTTTTATCCTTTAAATATGACCCTGAGCACTTTTAATCCTTTTAGGGGTCGTTTGGTTGGAATACGATTTATACCGGTATAAGTTATATTGTGATAAGTTATGTTGTGATTTGTTATGCTGGAATTGCTGTTTATTCATTGTTTGGTATGTTATATTAAGAATGACAATTGCATAATTTCTAAAAAGAAGGTATAAGTTATATCGATGCTAATTACCCCATCTTCTATAAGGTATAAGTTATCCCAGTACTAAAATTAACACCGGAATAACTTATACCTGATTTGCTAACCAAACAGAATATTAAGGTGGTATTAAATTTTTATACTACCCTTATACCTTCTTATACATTATACCAAACGACCTCTAAGTAGGCTAAAATAGAGCACATTTAATCTCTGACAAAATCTGTTTAAAAACTAATGGTCTATCCCTTTGAACCAAAACTTTCCCTCTCCTTTTATTGGGTGACATAAATTATCACTTTAGTGTCCGTTTGGACATAAAATTTGATGGAAGGTTTTTTTTCACTTTTTTTCGAAATCAGCGTTTGTTCATAAAATTTTCAATTTTCACTTGAAGATACATTTTGAAAATTTTCAAAAATTTGAAAAATTGCAAAAAGTTATTTTTCGAAATTTTTACTCAAATCACTCACACAACTTCAAAAACAACCCAAACTGAAATTTATGTCCAAACACAACTCTAAATTTCAAATACCATTTTCACTTGAAAAAATTTTCTACCATTTTTTTGAGTTTTACAATTCTTATGTCCAAATGCCTACTTAGTTCATCCTTTTTATTGCTTTCATCCTACTTCCCAAACTTCACTTGAGGGATTACAATGGATTGTTGTAGTTCCTCCTTTTTAGGTAACATTTCCTAAAATTTTAACCTTATATCGCTCGTTTTCAATTTGGTTATTCGTTTGCTGCAATAATATCCTCGAAGTGATCTTGACATCTCTATTTTTTCAACTTTCAACTTTTCTTTTTGAAACAAATCAACGAATTTCTTAAAAGTAAAAGTTCCAACTTTAAACATTCAAATTTAATCAGCTCTGTATAATTAGTGGGTGTTGGTTAACATTTTCGATAAGTAAGCTAAAAAGACGGTGAGTGTCGAAACCAACCCCGTAAATTGATCATGGAATTAGTTCTTGGTTTCTATATTTTCAAAATTGATTTTGATATCCATATTTCAAAACTGAATTTATTTTTGCTCACCAATTGGTTGCTGGGACTGTGGATCAGGACGATCCCCCATTGTGATTGCAGTTCGAAACTACGATTTTGTAGTTTTACTCTTTTGGATTCTCTATGTGAGGTATTTTTGAGGAGTTTTAGAAGATATACAAAAAGGCTGAACTAAGAGCAGCTTCTTGGAAACTAGTCAGAAATCGAGGAAGACTATTTTCCAAAGAAAAGAAAAATGGGAATATTTTCTTGTGCTGTTGAGCTTTAAATTATTGCTTTGAAAGTTTGATACAATCCTTTTTTCCATTTTGCAGAACAGTAGAATGACTTTTCCTCAAAGAAGTAGGGAACTTCAGGAAGCTTTTTTTCGTGAACGAGTTGGGAGAAATGTGAATGACTTTTTTCTTTTACTGCTGGTCTTCTTCTTATAGTGTCACATGAGTAACACAAGATAATGTCGTTAGTTTTTAAACAAATTATGTCATTGAGACTAAAAATGTTATACTTTGGCATACTTAAGGGATTAAAGATGTTCAAAATCATATTTGAAGGGATTAAAGATGCTCAAAATTATATTTGAGGGACAAAACAGACCTACCCTTAAAGATAAGGGACAATATTGGTCAAAAACTCTCCATTATACCAAAATGTTGGCAAATATTCTAGCTAGCTTACGTTTATTGTTCTCCAAAAAGAACATAAAATTTGCTATGAGATTTTGATCTATAGAGTTATTTTATTATTTAAAAGAAAATGTAAATTGCACATTAAATTCATGACCATGTCTCAAGTTTTGTTTACGTCTACGGAATTACCTATTTGTTAATAGTTTTATGGAAATTCCAAGGGAAACTTGCAGCCACTAGCCAACTACCCTTCGAGTGCGTACTGAATAACCTGCTCATTGTGTACTCGCAAACCATACAGTATTAGAAGTTTACCATCTCTTCTAGAGACTTTTAGTGTGGCCCACATATAAGGTAATAAATTATTTACCTTGTCTCCCAAAGGAAATAATATATCAGATAATATTCTGTGGTTATGTATATATGGTAGTTTCTTTGATGGAAAGAAAAGTTTTTTATTAAGAGTCCCTAGGGCAACCGTAATTTATGGAGAAGTCTCTAGGGCTAAAATATTTACCTAAGAGTCCCTAGCCTACCTATAAATATGCCTGTGACTCCATCAGTCTGACATCCTACGATAGGCACATGCTAGAAGGCTCTAGGTTTTCTGTCAAGGTTGTTCCAAGGCAATTCTCCACATCACTTGAACAATCATGGCTGAAGGTACGTTCCTATTAATATTCCGTTGCGGTGGCTCTGCATATGTGTTTAAATTCTACATCGTGGTATCAGAGCCAACCTTTTAGCTGTGTTGTTCAGTATCTGTTGATAATGATTATGCATATTGTCTACCATTAAGTGCCGTCATATAACATGGTCTCTAGTCTACAGAGAAAACTATAGTTTTGCTCAGCGTTGATTTCATAAAGTCTGTGACCTTTATATATATCTGTGCCGACATATCAAGTTTTTTTTTTTAGAAGCTTAAATTTGATGAAATCGTTTTCTTTATATTTTTGGCTTTACTGCGTATTCTGTTTGAACAGTTTTCGCTTCTTACTGTTAACCTTCTATGAGTAATCGTGATTTGCCTTCTTTCTGTTAGCCTTTGTAAACATTGATTTTCTTCAAGATTCTGTCTTTGACATTGACAAGAAGATCTTATTGGCCAAAACAATCTTTTGACTTGATTGTTTATATGAATACTTGACATGATCTAGTTTCTCAAGTTTGTGGCATGACTAGGAAGTTCCATGTTTGACAATAGTTAAAGAATTGAATCAACTTTTGGTATTTAATTAGTAACTAAATCACGATGGGTTAAATATACGGTGCTAATATTCACAGTGTGTTGATAATAATTTATTTGTCTTTGGTTATCACATCATCAATACATTTTAATTAAGCCCATGATTATGCTTAATATTCTGAAGTTTCCTTTTCATATTTCACCAAATTTGTATGGTTTTGTCCTTAAGTAAGTTATAAGAAACGAATAGCTAAATTTTCTACAATTATGCTACTGTTCAACTTATTATAATATTTTTTAATTATAAGAATTGATCTTTAGGAAAATGTAGCGTCATGCTTATATCCAGTATACCCTTTTGGAGCTAATCAACATTTTGTTAGGTTGATTATTAAAGTTTATTATTTTGAGATGTCATTTTGAGTTTTTTTTTATGTCATGTATTTAGGAAATTGAGTTATTTAATCACATAAAGTTAGTGATTAAAAGTTATAATGACATCTATTTAGTCCAATTATTTTATTAAGTTGGTAACCCGTCCTTACAGGGAGGTAATTTTTTGGTAGATTAATTGGAATGAGATAGTAAACCTTTAAGTTGAAAATAATCTTATGCCCACATGTACAGACTAATTTTTGTATATCTTGGTTTACTAGTCTAATAAAGTAAAATAAATTCTATGCATGGGTTGCAACCTCTATCCACAGGAAGGTCTAGAATTTACTTAGAATCGGTATTTACGTGATTCACCTTTGATGGATTGTACTTCATAGCTTATATATGTTTATCCTTATTTTGTAGTCTTTACCGCTTTTCCTACTACTATTTTTAATGAGAATACTCGAATTCCAATGCTTTTTGGTGACAATTATGCTGAATGGAAGGAGAAAGTCCTTCTCATTTAAGGGTGCTCGGATCTGGACATAGCACTCCGTATGGAAGAACCACCTATTCCGACGGAATCAAGTATGCCAGAGGATAAGGCTAATTATGAGCGGTGAGAGCGATCTAATCGTTTAAGTTTAATGCTCATCATGTACCAACTTGGCAGTTTCGCAAGGTTCACCAATGTCAATGTAGGATAGTCTAATGATCAACAGATCAACATTCAATCAATATATTTCTGGGTTTGAATCCAGCGAGCTCCTTCACTGCTAGATCAAGTTGGTCTTTCTTCGCCGCAAGTTAACTCTTAGGAATATGCCACACTATTCCTTTCACATGCTAGTTCATTATAGGCCATATAATATTAATTTCCCTTGTTCATTGTTCTTGCAAAAACCTAATGGGGTAATAAAAAATTCAGTAGGAAGATCTCGAAATTCCAACTTGCTTAAATTAAGTGTCCTCTTCTAGCTTCCACATAACCATGGGTATGTGTCCTTATGACGTTTTCTGACACAAAGTTATTTACTGGGCAACAACCAGATGATGGTGATTTTGCGAAATAACAAAATTTTATGAGTAATCAGCAAATTTTGGGTGGAAACGACTATTTATAGATGAAGGATACATATCAAACACACAGATATACTTGACATGGATCATGGGATGAATAATCAAGATACACTCTGGATCACAAGTGTCTGAAAACCTCCAAGTTAAATTTTTTTGCACCAACAGAAAATACTACTCTTGATTGGAAGCTCACTTAAGCTCGACAATCCAACCCATCCTATCCTCCGTGAGTCCCATTTGTAGGCTAGTAAGTGCAGAGTATAATTGCTGAGACACAAGACCAACCCCATTATTTCCATATGTTACCCTGCAAAAGTAACTCCAATAAGAATTGATATCAAGTATAGATGCGC